CACCTCTCTTCAGAGTCCGGCAGGAAATGGCAAAAAAACAACAACAACAACAACAATAAATAATAACGCACGTTTGCCACACTTATTCAATATGGACAAATAGATACATGTATGGCTTTCCTTTTCTTTGTTTTATTCTTGGGGTTCACATGCGAGGCGGTGCACGGGTCTACTCCCTTCCTCTAGGTCTTCACCGGGACCCACATCTTCACGGTATTATCAGCGCTGTAGGTGGCAATGATGGGCCGAGTGTCCCCATGGTGAGCCGCGGCGCCGACAACGCGTCCCCGATGACCCTCAAGTTTCTCTAGAAGCACGGTATTGCCCTCTTCCGTCACGTCGTAGACGCATGCCGTGTTCTCTGCCCCGGGCGTCACCACGAGATCGCATTCCGTCAAACGACGTGACTGTGGATCATTTTCCCGCTCACCGTCGTCGAAAAAGGCAGAGACGTTCGTCTTCTTCTTCACACCCTTCCAAAATGCCGCACGCACCGTAAACCCGCGGGTTGGCACTCCTCCGACAATATTTCGAAGTGAAATGGCGCCACTAGAGGAGGTGCTTAGAGCCGCCTGCCGGTACAAACGTACCATGTTGTCAGCGGACACCACAACGAGTCGCTTAGAGTCATCCCTGTTATGATAGTAGCCCAGATAAGTAATGGCACTCCGCGACGGCTCGTTTTCAATCACAGTAATAGGTGGGACGGACACGGTGGGAGACGCTTCAAACGCCGCGGAGGAAGTTGCTGGCGCATCGCTCGCCGTTGGCTCTCCTTCCATCGAAGAGGTCGAAGAGAGAGCGAGGCCAATCTTACGAAGATCCCACACTGCCATCGTCCCATCGTTGTGGCCGGTAATTAGATTTGTTTTGAAACTGCTAAAGGTCAACGCATTGGCGCGCACCTCGTGCTCCCACGAAATGGGCTTCTGCACCCGCAAGTCTACTATAGAGGTGCGTTTCTTTGAATCGGTGCATGCAAACACAAAAGCCTTGTCCAGCGGGACCGCCGCCAAGACAAATCCAGTCGTCGTAAATTCATAGACGCGAGACAGGGAGCTGCTTCCTTGACGCGCGTCCCAGACCTTCACAGTGCCGTCAAACGAGGCCGACAGGAGATTGCCACTTCCCTCAAACCATGCCACATCTGCGACGTTTTGCTCGTGCCCCTTGACGTCGCACAACCTCTCTCCTGTCAAAAAATTGTGCAGCATCAAGTGGCAGTCAAGCCCACCCGTGGCAAGGATGGGTCGCTCGCCGGGGGCAAAGGCCGCACACTGCACAGGCTTCGTATGCTCCCGCAGCTCCCGGCGAAGTTGAAAGCGGCGGTTGGAGGAGCTCTTCGTCGTTGCGGTTTCATAGCCCAGATCGTTGGCGTCCATGACACCCGCGGTTGTGTCGACAAAGTCGCGGCGCGAGACGGCCTCGCGCAGCTCGCGAATGCCCACTGGGGTCTCAAGGGTAATGCCCTTCGATGCCAGTTTGCTGACCGCGATGTCGAGGAGGGCGCTCAGGTGGTACAGCTGCTTCCGCAGCGTGCGGTTTTCGTGACAGGCCTCCGCCAACTGCTTCTGCAGCTGTATGTTTTCGTGACGCACCGTCGCCACAAGCTGGGCGGAGGAGGACGCAACTAAATTGTCGCCCATCGCTTCTGCCCCCCACCCCACCCCCCCCACCCCCACCGCCGCG